ATGATTGTTAACACAAGGGGTTAAAAATGATCTGGCAAGCCATGAGCAAAAGACAGCATGAAATCTCCTTCTTCCCTTTTTTCCACAATAATTTTTTCTTGATCTAGTATGTGTCAGACTTTGTGATTAATGTTAGAGCCACATTGTCCTTCCCCTCAAAGAGATTTCAGTATAGAGGAAGATTCGAACATAAATGCATTAAGGCATAAGGCTTAAGAATCAGGAGGATGCCCTATGTTCATTGCAGTGTTATTGACAATAGCCAAGATTTGGGAGCAGCCCAAGTGTCCATCAGTAGATGAGTAAATAAAATGCCTTGGTACATTTACACAATGGAATGCTACTCAGTTGTCAAAAAGAAGGAGATCTTACCCTTTGCAACTGCATGGATGGACCTGAAGAACATTATGCTAAGTGAAATAAGCCAGTCAGAGAAAGACAAGTACCATGTCATTTCATTCTTATGTGGAATCTGAATGAAGTAAAAGGCAAAATAGTGGCAGACTCATAGATGGAGAGAAGGATATGGGATAAAAGGAAAAAAGAGAAAAACTCATGGACAGGGACAACAGCGTGGTTATTGCCAACAGAGGGGGCTGGAGGGAGGTAAAGGAGGCTATTAGGGGGCATAAATGGTGCTGGGCAAAGACTTGACTTAGGATAGTGAACACAAAATACAGTGTACAGAAGATGTGTTGTAGAATTGTGCACCGGAAACCTGTATAATTTTGTTAACCACTGTCATCCCAATAAGTTTGATAAAAAGGGGGAAAAGAATGAGAAAGGTGTAAGTACTGGAGTGGTAAGGGGTGTAGCAATAACTAATCTACTTTGTGTGGAGTGGCAGTGGGAAGACCTTGCACAATGGTGTCTTTTGAGCTGGGTCTTTAAAAACATGTCTGCCATACAGAGAGAATAGGAAAGTCCTAGCAGGTTGAAAGTATAAGGCAAATACAGAGAGTAGATTCGGATGCATATGATGGGTAGGGGGATGAGTTTGCAAAGATGCACTAGAGCCAGATAATTAGCAAATTTGTGCTTAAGAGTTTGTATTTTATGTTAAAATGGGTGTGAGTCATGAAATGTTTTAAAGAAATACTGTGGCTTATTCATATTTCTGTTTATAAAGATATCTGGCTGATTTGAGAAGGGTGGATTGTATTTGGGAGAAACTAAAGACAGAGAAACTAGTTGAGAGATCAGGTTATAGGTCAGGTGATTGATGATGAATGTGAAGTAAGCCTGGAAAGAGGAATTAATATGTGAGACATGTACAAGGTAGAATGAATCAGCAATTAAAGATGGAAAGGAAGAGCTCATGAGTGACTTTACCATTTCTAGCATGTCACCTGGTCCATAATGGCTTCATTAAGAAGGAAAGAAAATGAATAGGTAAAGGCAGAGTTTGGAAGAAAAATTGAGTTTTGTTTCTTATAAATTGAAGAGAAATGATCCATTAGTCATCTGCAACTATAGATCTGAAAATAAGAAGGGTGAGGGCTAGAGACTTGATTTATAGGTCATTAATATTTACTTGACATCAGTCAAGCAGAGAACTGGATCTACTCCCAACATGTGTGTCCTAGGGAGACTGGACTATTGAATGAGGATTAGGCTAAGATGACTTGTGAGGCTCCTTCTGGGCCTTTGAGTAACTATTAAGAGGAAGATGAATGGAAGGATATGGGATAACCAGGAGACAGGGTGCTAGTGAATTAGACATATTTGGAATACCAATTCTGACAATTTGGTTCTTAAACTTGCCCTATTTCCCAAAGAGGCATCTCGTAAAACGATAATTGGGAGAAAATTAAGCTCACATTATATATTAATTAGAACACTTTGGGGTTTATGCAAGAGAAAACAACTTGAAATAGCTTCAATAAAATAGGAAACCTTTTAAGAATACAGTGGTACCCCGTAGAAGCCTGGGGTAAGAATGTTACTTAACCAGGAGGCAGATAACCATTGAGGATCTAGTCTCAGCTCCCCTCTGTCTGCCTCTCTTCTCTATCTTTCCCTCTCCAGGCTTGTTTTTTCTTACTTCTCCTGATGGCATAAGCTCCTAAATTGATATGCTATAGTTCCAGACACCCAGTTTTACTAATTCTCCCTTCTTATTCTATTACATCCCCATGGAGATTCTCTGATTGGCCCAGCATGGGTGAGAAGCTCCATCCTGGTATAATCAAGTGTGTGTGTGTGTGTGTGTGTGTGTGTGTGTGTGTGTGTGTTTAGAGGGCCAATTCACTCCGGGCCAATTAAATAATATATAGGGGTGGTATCCAGACATCAGTATTTTTACAAGCACTTCAGTTTGGGAAACAATGACTTACACTCTGTTGTTTTTATGAAAATAAAGACAGTGACAGGATAATAATGTGTCCCTCACCCCTATGTCCATGTGCATTATAATACCCAGAACCTACGGAAGTTTTATGTTACATGGCAAAGGGGAATTAAAGTTACGGGTGGAATTAAGGTTGCTAATCAGCTGACCTTAAAACAGGGAGATTATTTTGGATTATCTGAATGGGCCCGATGTGATTCCAAGGGTCCTTAAATGTGGAAGAGGTAGGCAGAATTGTCAGTGTATCTAAGTTAATTTAATTACTGGCTTTGAAGATGGAAGGGGACAATGAACCAAGGAACATAGGTAGCCTCTAGAATGTGGGGCAGTCAAGGAAAAGGATTCTCCCATAAAGTCTCCATAGAGGAATTCAACTCTGCTGACACCTTGATTTTAGCCCAGTATGACTCTTTTCAGACTTCTGGTCTCTAGAGCTAAAATAAATTTGTGTTGTATTAAGCCATTAAGTTTGTGGTAATTTTTTTTACAGCAGCCACAGAAAACCAATAGAAATATTATTAAGAACACTGGTTAATACTTGAATAAGAGAGAGATAAAAGATAGTTCCAAGGCTATATTCCTTAAATACAGGTGTTCCATGTGAACATTTTTTTTTTCTGTCCAGCACTTTTCTTTTCTTCTGGAAAAGCATCTCCCCCTAAATTGGTTTTCATTTAGAAATTTTCTCTTCATTTTTTTCTCCACTATATGGTTCTACTGGGGGTATCATTTTTATGTCACATATGCACTTTTTCCCCAGGAATGATTGTTACGCAGTTTCACCTAATCATGCTCTTTATCTGATGGTACACAATTGGAACTGAGCGTAGAGAGGCACATTCTGTCTGGTAACAATTTGGTAGGTGTGAGCTCACAATTTGTCAGAGGCCATGGTTCTAAGCCTAAAGAACATGACTTTCAGAGGTTCTGAAAGAATGACCCTGCTGGGAGAGGCCAGGTTGAAAGCCTGACCTGGAATTTGAAGCATTCCCGTTACTGGTTCAGTTTATTCCTAAGGCTAATCATAGATTTGGCCTTTTGCAACTTGGGTTACACAATAACTTTCTCTTTTTGCTTAAGCCACTTAATTTTACTTTTGATCACTTCAAACAATTTATCCTGACAAACTCAGACATAAAAAATAAACTCAGTAATCACATGAAAGGTAATAAACATATATACACGTGTATTAAGAATGCAAACATTTCCTTTATTGACCCAATAAATATTTTTAGCACCTTCTGTATGTGAAACATTTTATTAGTGAAATCAATAGGACAAGGCCCTACTTACTGGCACTTACAGATTTATTCATCATCCTCCAGAGTCTGTGTCTACATTTACCAATACACATACCCTCTTGTAATCTGTCCTCACTACAATCCCTCTATGTGTATTTGACAAATGAGAATTAGGAATGAGTTCAAGAAAGTCTGGTTCATAAAATAAACAAATGGAAAGACCACAGAGGTTTAATAAAGAATGTCAAGATATTCAGATCTTTAACAGGCTCTCCCCCCAAAAATGCTCCTGTCTCAGTCAAAATACTTGCTTGGAAGGACTATTGGTGTGATTCCTTTAAGCCAAATCTTTCTCAATTCCATCATAACTAAAGTAAAAAGAAGGGAAAAATAATTTGGAATAAATCACTTTAGGCCCACAGGCCAATTCACTTTGGATTCACTCAGGTGTATTTCTTTTAATAGCTGACCTGAAGGCATGTGAGATTCTCGCAGCTGACCAGATTCTAAACAGAAAAGCAGAGAACTTAAAACTAAGCACGCATGCAGATGGAATAATAATCAAGTCAGGCTTCTTAACATGCCAAATGCCAGAAAACCTGAAACCAGTAGGGCAAAGTCCACACAACAACACAGGTGGAGTATTCTGTTTCTCAGAGGGGCTTTTAGAAGGCTCAAATTCTAAGATGGCTACCTAAAAAGCAGGGTCAAAGATGGATCTTATTTGACAACCCATGTTCTTCTTCCCAAGATATTTGGATATATTTGCTCAAGACTCTTTTTAAGAAAAAAGCAGATTGTTGTCACCCAAAGTCCAGAAACAGCAGCAATAGAGTTTGTTCTCAGGGTAAGGGCTGAGTTGTAACTGTGGGCTGTGGTTGCATAGTCACCAACCATGTTCTGGGCTTGAACACAGCAAAGAGACATGTTAATTAGGATGCTCTGTACAGGAGGCCTGTGGGTGAAAAATCTGCATGCCCCTCACCCTTGGAGGGCTGAAAGCTGTGCACGACAAGGAGAAATGCCCTGTAGTAGATAAAGTCTGGGGAGACAGGTATGCAAAAGAGGGAAAGGCTAGTGAAGATCTAAGGCAGCTCCAGGGAAAGGTGTGCTGTCCCGGGGGCTAGCTTGGCCAGGCCAAGCCGGGCTTTCTCGACAGTGAGTGTGGAGGTGCACGGAGGGACCTCGACGACTTCTCTTCCAGTGTTGTTGTAAATAGACCCCAAGTGTAGAAAGCTCTATCTAGCCTACTGTTCTGAACGCTAAGTCTTCCCGACCAAGGCGGCGGAGGCCCCGCCCCTCCCTTTCCCACCCAGCCTGGCTCCGCCCCTCTCCTAACTCCGCCCTGGCCCCGCCCCCGCCCCTTCCCACCGCCCTACCCAACGGCTCCTGGCTCCAGGCTCAGACTGGGCTCGGTGGCACTGGGAGCGCGCAGACGCGGCTGGTGGTACGCCGAGCTCGGAGTAGAGGCGCGGGGCGCGCGGTGAGGTGGCTGCGCGGGGTTCGCAGCTGAGGAACGAGGTTCGGGCCGAGCGTAACCAGAGGGCTTGGGGTGTTTACGGGTGGCTGTCCTGGGAGCTTTGGGTCCTGTAAGGAGAAATCGGCCAGCCGGGAGGCAGAGGGGTTGGCCGCGCTGCCTGAGTGTCCGGCGGCCCCGGCCGCGTGGGGAAGCGGAGTGCGTGGTGGCGGGAGTGGGTGAGGGTAAGTGTAAGGAGAAAAATTGAAGGACTCCAGAGGCTGAAAGACCGTACTCAGGCTTGGTAGGATGGCGATGCTTGCCAAGTGCACTGGAGGGTGTCCCAGCTTCAAGTTCAGTACCCCTGCTTGGTGCCCCTGAGCGGCGCGTCCCGGGCCATCCCTTCCCCCGCGCTGCCGTCACAGAATGCGGAGTTGCCAGGAACGTTCCCCGTCGCGGGGAAGAGGATTTAGGGGACATGGGCTGTCGCCCCAAGCTAGTGCCAACGAGGGCGTGGTGTTCGTGTGACTTTCCTTCACCCAGCCCCAGGGAATGTGTCCCATCTTCTTCTGGTCCATTGTGCTCGTGGGCATTTTAACAAAGGCGATGACTGTTTTCTAAACTGTGGCGAGTGACAGCGGGGGCGGATCGGTGGAGGGGGGTCGTATGAGGTTGCGGTGTGGCCTTGGGGGGCGGGGAACCAAGGAGGCTGGTATGAGGAAAGTGGAAGGAAGGGAACGACATTCTTGCCTCAGTTTTTTTTTTCTTTCTTCCTCATCCGCTCATGTTGATCAGTGGTTGGAACAGCCTTGAGAGGGATATGATTGGAAATTAGTGTGTTCAGATTTTGGCTGCAGCCGTTGGTTTTGTAATTGGGCTGTTTATGTCTTCTTTAAGTGTCCCTTCAGGAGAAATGCGAAACTAATGGTATTTAAGAGGAAGTAATTGAACGAAAGGGTAAGGGGGTAGAGTGTCAAAACTTAGAGCTAAATTAATCCCTGTGATAGTCATACTATAAATAAAGCCAGATTTTGAAGGATGTGAAGGTGCTGAAGTCAGGCTAAGTGAAAAGTTGATTAGGGTACTGTTGACTGTTTCAATCAAGAGTGAATTATTGGATATGTGTGTGTAGGTGCTGCCAAGTTCTTGGGCAGATTCACTTTAGAACCCTTAAGAATGACACTGGGAATATAAAACACTAGGACAAATATTGCAATATTTGATAAAGTTCCATGGCTTTCATTTTCAAACCTAGGATCTTTATGAAAAATAATATATGTGTTCTCGATCATGGATGTTGCTTTTGTTTAACTTAATACAACAAAAACTGAACTTCCTCCCCCTCCACCCTTTTCCCTTGATTGTGAATTCTGTTTTATAAACATTTACTTTCAGATCTGAAGTGTATTTAAAGGTACAATTCCCCCCAACCCAAGCATGAAGTGAACAGGTTTCTGTGCCTGCAAAGCAGAGAACGTATCCTGGCTATAACTTATATTTTTTACCCCTCACTTAATTTACCCCTTCTCCACCTAAATATAAAAGCACTTTTTCTTCATGTTACTTTTTATTAAAGTTCTCATTCTCTGTGGTCTTTAGACTCACTTACTGAAAAAGCAAATTCCAAACCACTGTGATTATAACTTCTTAAAAGTTTCCTCACCTAGACTTCCTCCCCGTATTTCAGGGTTTTCCTCTAAGTCTTTGACCAGCCAGCCTCAGTTATTTCCACTGAGTCTTCTTAGGGTTCTGTCAGAGACTTTCCCATTTTATACAAGAGACAATAATGTAGTGGTCAAGGGCACAGAATTTGGAGGCAACATATTAAACTTCTTTCTCTAAGTGTCAGTTTCCTCATCTGTGAAATGATAATTATAATATTTACCTGATAACTGAGTTAAGGTATATTAACAGCTCATCATAATATCTAAGTATATTATCATAATACCTAAAAATGGCAGCTATTTTTATTTGCTGTGTTTCTTATAAGAAATAATTTCAGTAGCAATTAACTTCAAAATCTCGATATGTCAACATCTCCTACCCTGTTCAAGCTCCAGTGCTGTATTTGTAGATTCCACCCATATATCTTCAACAAGTGGCTTAACACGGTGGTTTTCAGACATCAGTCTGCACAATAATCACAAGAATGTGCAGATTTCTGGGCTCCACTCCCCAGAATTTCTGATGTCTGGGATGAGACCTGAGAATTTTCATTTCAGCAAGTTTCCAAATGATAGCTGCTCACTCTCGGATCACATAGTGTCGCTGATCAAGTGGCATTAAGACAAGTTGGCAAGAATAAAGGGAGAGGGGACTGAGAGACCAGAAAGTTATGGAAGTTAAGAGAGGAGTGTGCTTAAACCTGATTGTATCAGATATCATGTAAAATTTGGAAAGGATAGGTCTAAGAACACAGTTGGATTTGGTGACCAAAGCCTTTTTGTTTGTTTTTGTTGTGTGTCAGGTGCAGAGGGTTTATTTAATTATACACCCCGTTTGGTGGGACATTATCATTATTATGACCAGAAAAATACATGACAGGTATTTGAGATAATGATTCTTAATCTGGGGTGTGCATTAGACTCTCTTAGGGAGCTGTTTTCACCAATATACTTATATTTAGTGTCCCTCCCCCTAATATAAACCCATTAAGCCAGAGTTTCAGAGATGTGAAAAAATTCCAGGACATTTTGATGGGCATCCTGGTTAAGAACCACTTCTTTAGTAATGGTGGTTAGGTAGTGGACACAGAGGAAAGAACCTAATTCGTGTCTTATCTCCTTTTTTCGTAGCGTGGCTAAAGGGTTATTGATTTTATAGATCTTTTCAAAGAATCGGGATTTGGTATTGTTGGTTTTCTTTGTTGATTACGTGTTTTCAATTTCTTTCATATCTGCATTAATTTTTACTCTTTCCTTTTGATTACTTTGAATTAAATTTGTTCTTTTTCTAGTTTTCTAAGGTGAAAGCTTAGATTGTTGATTTTAGGTTTTCCTTCTTTTCATATTAGATTCAATGCTATAAATTTCCCTCTAAACACTGCTTTCACTGCATCCCTCAGTATTTGATATATTGTATTTTCCTTTAGTTCAAAATATTTTTGAAATTCTCTTAAGAGTTCTTTGACTCAAGTGTTATTTACAAGTGTATTGTTTAATCACCATACACTTTGGGATTTTTTAGTTATTTTACTGTGTTATTGATTGCTAGTTTAATTTCATTGTTGCCTGCTCCAGACATTGCATGATTTCTGTTTGTTAAAGTATGTTTTATGTCCCAGAATGTGGTCTGTCTTTGTGCATATTAAATTGAGATAGAGAAAAATATGAATTCTGCTCTTGTTGGGTAGAGTAGTCTATAGATATCAATTGTAATCAATTGATTGATGATGCTGTTGAGTTCAACTATGTACTTACTGAATTTATGCCTGTTGGATCTGTCCATTTCTATTAGAGGGGTGTTAAAGTCTACAGCTGTAATAAGTGATTCATGTTTTACTCTTTGTACTTATATCAGTTTTTACCTCGTATACATATTTTGAGTCTTGGTTGTTAAGTGCATACGCATTAAGGATTGTTATGTCTTCTTGGAGAATTGACCCCTTTAGGGAAGTCAGATGGAATTCGTCTTTACTCCCATATTGGTAAAGGTGTCCCACCCCCATATTCTTTCAAGATTTTTATCTTTTGATTTTTCTGCAGATTATCTATGATATATCTAGATGTGGGTGTTTTTTTCTTTTTTTAGCATTTATTCTGCTTGCTCTTCTCTGAGCTTCCTGGGTCTATGGTATGTTACCTGCTGTTTATTAGGGGAAATTCTCAGTTATTATTGCTTCAAATATCGCTTCTTTTCCTTTCCCTATTTCCTCTTTCTGGTATTCTCATTATGCATACATTATACCTTTTGTAGTTCTCCCACAATTCATGGATTCTCTGTTTTGCCTTTTCAGTTCTGGAAGTTTCTACCATTATATCTTCAGACTTAGGGATTCTTTCTTCAGCCATGTCCAATCTACTAATGATCCCTCCAAAGGGCATTTATTTGTTATAGCACTTTTGATTGGTAGCATTTCTTTTTGACTCACTTTTACAATTTTCATCTCTCTGATTGTATTATCCATCTGTTCTTGCATGTTGCTTACTTTTTCCATTAAAACCCATAGCATACTAATCCTAGTATTTTTACATTCCTGATCTGATAATTTCAACATTCCTGCCATATAGGACTCTAGTTCTGATGTATGTTCAGTCTCTTCAAATTCTGGTTTTTTGCTTTTTTTGTATGGCTTGCAATTTTTTGTTGAATAGTGAATATGCATAAAAGGAACTGTAGTAAGTAGGTCTTCAGTAATGTTGTAGTAAGGTGTGGAGGCAGGGGAAGCATTCTATAGTCCTGTGATTTGGTCTCAATGTTTGGTGAACCTGTGCCCCTGGACTGTGAACTTGATCAATGCTTATCAGTCCACGCTCCAACCCCTACTGAGTGGTACAGGATGGCTAGAGGGGGCTGGAGTGGTGTATTTCACTTCTCTGGGGTAGTTAAGGCTATGATAGTATCCTAGCTTGTTATACTCTGGTAAAATATGTTCTCCTGACAGCAGTCCTTGTTAAGAACAGAATGTTCTAGTGTGTTTAAAGATGGTTCATTCCTTCTTCCCCACCAGAAGCAGGCGGCGGGGTGGGGGGAGTGGTTTCTTTAATATTTAACGTGAGAACCAGGTCCACCTCCTGAAGGTAAATCTCACGGAAGTGTGGGCCTCCCTTGCCTGGGTCCAGCTGAAAAGTTGAAATTTTCTGACTTGTCTTTACTGTGCCTCAGCAATTAATCAATTAGAGTTCAAATTTTCCTGCCTTGGCACTGGTTCTCTCAGAGGTTTCTGCTCATGGGGTTCTGCTTGGTCAAGTTGTGATTCTCTGTATGTGCATGTTTGTCTTCAGTTTGGGGGGCAGGGTTTGCCTAGTGACTTCATTTCTCTAACAGATTTAAGATGAGTTGTTTTTATCAGTTTGGAGAGCTGTTTACTTGTTAGGTGAGAGTTGAAGCTTCTAAACTTCTTGCA